GGCCTGCCACCTCTCGGGGTGCTAGCACCGCAGCTGCAGTTGCCTCCTCAAGTTTGGCTGCCGTGGGTAGCAATCCAGCTTCTTATAGCTCGCATACCCCTAGAGAAGGCTCTGCATTCCAGCTGTGGCACACATGCTGTAGGTTCGCCATCGTTGACCAAGACTGTTCCCTCATTATTCCCTCTATGGCCAAGCAATGGAACATTGGGATCACCTGGCTAAGGATAGCCGTCTCCCTACTAAGGACCTTTGTTGTACCCGTAAAGCTTCAGAGGATATAAACACTTGACCCATAATGTCTGACCCTTCTCTGTCTAGATAAGAACAGCCACACCAATGGAAGTCTCCAGGACCAAATCATGGAGTGCCCTTTGATGCTTAAGCAATCTTTCAAGCAGGTAGAAACCATCAGGTTGCTACATCCAGGATTAAGTGGTGCAGTGGCAATCCCAATTTTTCTTTTCTCTGTTGCAATAGCTCACTACTCTGGACACTAGTGAAAATGCCATGCCACCTTTCTAGTTCACTCAGTTCTGTTAGGTGTGCATGTATCTTCCATAACTAATAAAGCACCCCAAACTACTAGGTTGAGAGTCTGTGCCATACACCCCGCCCTTTCATCTTCCCAGCCTGCAATTGCTGCCATCATGTTTGCCCCATTGTCTTCAACAAATAGACCTTGCTTTTTTATAACTAGACTCCACTGCTTCAGCATGTCCCTCAGAGCCTCTTAAATGCTGTAATCTGTGTGCCTGCCCTCCATCACAACCACATTCAACAGGGCCCACCTGTATCCTCCTCTTGTGTGTTGCCCTATACCTGATGCCTCCATCTCCCACAAGTGTCCTTTCATGGAGAGGCATGTTTTGCACCCTGACTGCTCTAGATGTCACTTGTAAATTGTACCACTTGTATCCTGCCCAACTGCTTCTGTACCAGTTGTCTGACACCTCAATATAAATCTGGCACCACCCTGCAGGTTGTTTGGGATGGCAGTTGGTATGGGATGCCAGATATGCCACAGACCTGCAGAAACCACTGTTTATCACCAAAGAATGGCTGATCATCCAGGACTATCATCTCCCATAGGTAATGAGTAATCCTGGGATTTTTGTGTCTGCAAAAGGCCTTTTCCTGCATCCCTCCACTCCTCCAGGGTAGCCTGAAGATGTGAGTCTGGCATTTGCTGCTTCCCACCCCTTGCCATTTGCTCATCTACCTCCCTGATTCCCTGGGCTGGTGGCTCATCCTGTACCCTCTGATGACTCTTATGGTTCACTGTAAGGAAGGCACTTACCCCCCACAGTACCCACTCATTCATTAACAGAAGTATAGTCTCCAAATCCCGTGAAATACTAGTTTCTCTCCGTTCAGCATTGGTTAGGCCTCATCTTGAGTACTGCTCAGAGGAGGGCAACATGGATAATCAGGGGGCTGGAAACAAAGATTTATGAGGAAAAACTGAAAGAATTGGGCATGTTTAGCCTTGAGAAGAGAAGACTGAGGGGATATATGATAGCATCTTTCAAATATTTGAAAGGCTGTAGAACAGTGGAAGGGCAGCATCTGTTCTCGATCATCCCTGAGAACAGGACATGCAACAATGGACTCGTTACAGGAAGCCAGATTTTGGTTGGATGTCAAGAAAAACTTCCTAACTGTTAGAGCAGTACAATTGCCTTGAGAGGTGCTGAGTGTTCCAACACTGGAGGCATTCAAGAGAAATTCAGACAACCACCTGGCTTTAGTTTTTATTCCTGCATTGAGCAAGAGGTTGGACTTGATGGTCTTATAGGCCCTTTCCAACTTCACGATTATGTGATTTGTTAGCATCAATGCCGTATGTTGACTTTTCAGGTTACTAAGGATGCTACTGGAGAAGTAGCCCAAATCCTGCCCACAATTGAACACCTTGCAGTGCATGAACACAGTCATACAAGCATCAGTTACACCCTGTTGAAAATGCTTCCGAATTATTGACTTCTTAGTTTTTTATTGCATGTTCTTGACAGGGATTGTCATCACTACTCATTCCAGCAGCTGGAGGGGCAAAGTTGATTTCAATATCACATGCTTCTGAATTAGTGCTCATCAGAGTTCCCTCAGTCCCCTCCTCCCCCATGTCCCACCTGGAACCAGAGACTTGTATATACTTGAAGGAGAGTTGCCACCCCCACCCCCTGTGCTACTTTGTACAAGAGAGATTTGTTGGGAATGGGGGGCTGTGGATAAATTCTGCCTTGAATATGATGGAGCTCCATAGCATGGATATGGAAGGCAATGCCTATAGCTTTTCATCAGTTTCTTTTTCAACCATAAAAGCAGCAGCAATGCTGCTGCTGCCCAAGCTGACAGTGTCAGTGAGTGCTGATGCTATCTCTGTTCTTCTCTGGCACATGAGCCTTCTTCACAGTCTTTTTTGGCCCCTTGCCCTGGGTAGATCGCACAAAGACATTATTAGAATATGTCAGAGGTGAACTATCTGTTCCACCTTAAAGCAAAGGCTTCTCTGTTGCCTCCTTGGCAGAGAGACACATACCCTATACTGCTGCCTGTTGCTCTTTCATAGTGTCAGTGCTGAACAAGATTTTATTTGGGGGTCTCATGATAGCATGAGGATGTCATTTTTCCTCTTCCACTTCTGTCAGTAGAATCTATTGCAGAGGGTGAAGGCAGCATTCCTGCAGTCTTACCCAAGTGCCTACTTCTACCATACCAATATTTCATACTGTTTGCAGACTCTACCCCAAAAAATCAAAAGTACAGTATATTATAAAGTGGAACACAAATCATTCCAATGAAAATCACACATGCACACGCAGAGAGACATTAAAAATCTGTTAATTTAATATAAAGGTAAAGGTAAAGGTTCCCCTTGACAATTTTTGTCCAGTCGTGTCCGACTCTAGGGGGCGGCGCTCATCCCGCTCTTCAGGCCATAGAGCCAGCGTTTGTCCGAAGACAATCTTTCCATGGTCACATGGCCAGTGTGATTCAGACACGGAATGCTGTTTAGCTTCCCACCGAGGTGGTCCCTATTTATCTACTCGCATTTGCATGCTTTCGAACTGCTAGGTTGGCGGGAGCTGGGACAGGCGACGGGTGCTCATTCCGTCGCGTGGATTCGAACTTACAACTGCTGGTCTTCTGACCCTGCAGCACAGGCTTCTGCGGTTTAGCCCACAGCGCCACCACAGATATATTTAATATATCTGTCTCTGTATGACAAAATCTTATTCCCCTGCCTGATATACACCAAAGGGATCAAAACTTAATAAGATATTTCCCTGTTGATTTATACGGTGTTAGGAATCTACTAATCCTAAATGTTCTTCCTAACTATATTAAGTCAACAAGATACAGTGAGGTGTAGAGAATATAAGTGCAAGTTGAGAGTTCAGAAAAGGACACAGAGAAAACTGCACCAGAGCGTATCCTAACAGCAAATGCTCAGCAGCCAGGCCCAATTTTCAATTGGGAAAAAAACTAATGTGAAAAAAATACCTTCTGGTATATGTGCCTGCTTCTAAATTTCATTGGTGCAGACATACATTTGTAGGCTTTGCTCCCATCCCAACTCTCCTCTCTTGGGAAACTGCTCTCTGCCCTATTATCTTTGGTGCCAGAGTGTGTTTAAGGTTCATTTCTCCAAACATTAGGATGCCTGAAAAATAGGTTTCACTTTTGTTTTTCCCTGTATCAAGCAGAAACCTAGCCTTTTGCTTTCTAATCTATAGGAATAAATGGGACTCCACATTTGGATTCAGATGAATTCAGAACTATCCAAATGTTGCATTATTAGGCGAATTCTGAATCCAAAGGCACATCCCTGTTGTGGATGAGTAATATATTATTCACCACCATGGAGGGAATATTTGAAATTGATGGTATCAGAGAATGTGTTATGTGCCATCAGGTTGGAACTGACGACTCTAATAGGGCTTTCAAGTTTAAGTGAGATATTTAAGGAGTGGTTTTGCCATTGCCACCCTCCCAATGAGCTTGTGATCAGGGATTCAAACCCAGGTCTCCTGTCAAACCTAAATTTTGCGGCCAGAGAAGTCTGTAACTCAAAAAGTCTGTAAGTCAAGGGTCCACTGTATGTGCCATCAGGTTGGAACTGAAGACTCTAATAGGGCTTTCAAGTTTAAGTGAGATATTTAAGGAGTGGTTTTGCCATTCCCACCCTCCCAATGAGCTTGTGATCAGGGATTCAAACCCAGGTCTCCTGAATCCTAGTCCATCACTCTGGCAATTTCATCACACCTTAATTACCCAAAGCTCTTTCCTGCTTTGGTATTCTTTAATCATTTGTGAGCTGCCTTAGCTCCCTCCTCTTGGAGAAAAACAGCATAGAAATGAAATAAACCTTTTGACCATATTTGTTATCCCCCGTGGGATTTGACATGCTAGGTATTATTATGTCTTCACTGAGTTAATGTTTTGCTTAGTGACATGCCTGTATGTACCACAAAGAAGATGCATTCAACACAGATTCTTCTACAGTATGTTTTTTTTTAAAATTTCACAGATCACAGGAGTTTAAGTGGGAAAGAGTTCCCTCCTTTCCTCTGTTCAGGCAGTATCTCTAACACTGTACTGCAAACAGAGTGCTTGAAAGAAGCTTGCTTATCCCTCACACTACTTCTCTTGTCCTGTTGCACAGCCGGCGCCAGTCTGAAAAGGCCAATTCAAATGCTTCCTTATTGGCATTGGCTCCTCGGGCTTGGCTTTAGCTTAGGGTTCTTAAAAAGGAGCAGCTGTTTGTGTTTTCCAGTGGAGGGTTTTTTTTCCCTTTCCTGTTTCCCTTGCTGTGCTGTCATTGGCTGAAGAAAGGAGGGAGGGCGGACTAGAGTGAAGTAAGCTGTGTAAACTCTGTGAATGTGGTTGAACTAGTTTTTTGAGGAGGGAAGGAGAGAGATCTGGTAAAGCGACTCAAGTCTGTACTGGCAGTTCTCAATTTTCCCCCCCTTTTCCTTACTTTCTGTCTCTTTCTTTCTCTTCCTTACTTTCTGTCTCTTTCTCTCTCTCTCTAACATGGTTGGGGATCATTGTAACCTCAGCGGCGAAAGACCTGTACTTTCTCAAACTCCCAAAACTGGATTAAGCTGCAAAATGGTTCTCCAGGCAGTGGGCAAAGTGTTAAGGTAACAACTTCTAAAAAACATACCATCTTGATATGAGGGAGTAGAGAGAAAGCATATACAGTATGTCACTTTTTCATTCTGAAACATGTTTGGCTGTTAAATCTTCTGTGTTGTTATCTGAACCTCATAGAGGTAAATGGCAAAACTATCACTGGCTTTAAAGAGGGCAGGAATGCAGCCTGGGTTCCTTGAGTAAAAGGGTGTGCAAGATTCTCCCCCCCCCAAAAAAAATCAAGTTAAATACTATGGTACTTTCAAGATTAGCCTGTTACATTTAACTTGAGTTTCAGCAAATTGATAGTAACTTTAGCGGCTTGTTTTTTCTCTGACATTTTTGTTCATTTTTTTAAAATTGGAGTAAATTGAAAAATGCCATGTATGTAATTTGCCCTAACTTCTCTTTCATTCATGCTTGAGCTTAAATAACTTTGCTCCAAATCTTGCTGCTCTTGAATAAACTGCATGACTATATATTTAAGTTCTGGCTTTTTGTAATGTATTTAACTGAGGCTGCTCTCCTGGGAACGTTTTGGAGAAGGTCCTCCTGGAAACATTATGTGCCTTGTATTTGAGTGGGGGTGAACAGAATTGAGCTACAGGTTGTTTTGTCTGTCTCAGAGACACCTTATTTGATTATATTTGTTCATCAGTCACAGAATTTAATTAGGCTCTTGGTTCAGAGTTTGGGTAATGTGAATTTTGATCAGCTAAGAAGGATGAAGATCAGAAAGCATTTTCAAAACACTTAGTATTCTGTAAGAAATGTGAAACAGGGACAGCTTTCTGTCTATAAATTGTGCTTCTGTACTGTAACTTTAGGAAAATAATTACACAGACATAAAATGGAAAATTACTTTTCTGTATTTTTTCTTACTTGAATTGAACATCGACACAATTATGAATAAATAAACAATGTTGTTAACAATCAGTATGCAGTTGACAAGCATATCCTAGCGAAATTTGTTTGGGGCAAAATATTGACTAGTGGTTCCTTTTGTATTCAAGACTAATTGTTAAAACAGTTTGTCTATTAGCATAATACACCCTCTTTTCCTTGTTTGTACTCAGCTATCAGTCTATGGTATGAAGGTTTGGATTTTGTGAATGATCATGACCAAGGAGTGGGAAAGACTGGGTGTCAGAATAGGTTTCTCAAATTTTATTAGCCTCGGAATTGGAGTGAATAAATAAGGTTTTTAAGACTACCAGATCTTTCCTAACTGCATTTGATTAAATATAATTTAAATTACTAAAAGTCATAGAATGTAATGTAAAATTGAAAAAGGTGTAATTTAACTGGTAAAGTACAGTGCTACTAGTTCATGTTAATTTCTCCAGTTCAACTTGGCCTTTTCTTTGTTTAAACATTTTAGAGTCAGATTTTAAAACCTGTAGAGAACATGATAGCATCTGCTTTTAAAGGTTTGTTGAAAAAAAATTGTGCTAAATCTTAATAAAGATGGGTTATGTCTTGTAGCTGAGTGTGTTCATTTCCTATAGTTGATCATTTTCAAGTTTTCATAAATCTTTTTTATTTCTCCCATGTTCTTTTCTCTGTAGAAAAGATATGTATATGTTCCTTATCCATATCTATGGGAGTAAATACATATATTTAAGATGTATTTTCTCACAGATAAAAAATTTATACAATTTTCAAAGAGGTAGCAAAGTGAGTCTTTCTCATAATGTTGACAAAATTGGGGCTGGGGGCTGAAAAAAGAGCAGGTTGCAAGAGACAATATATTGTGGCATCTTAAAACATTTGTTTCTGAGGAAATTGATATTCCCTGAAACTTTACACTGGCTGATTTCCAATAGTAAGTCACAACTAAAGCAGGCCACTTGAATTGGAAGGAGGGGGGTGAACTATATCCTCTGTACATTCCGATAGTAAGTCACAACTAAAACAGGCCAATTGAATTGGAAGGGGGGGTGAACTATATCCTCTGTACATTCCATTGGCCTACTTTAATTGCAAGGTACTACAGTACTGGATTTCAGTCGCTCAATTGAATCTGTTAGTCTTATTATTTTTTGCTCCCCCCTTTAATTTTGTCAGCAAAGTGACATGGCAGTGTTTTCAGTAGGAAAGTGATGAGTCTTGATGGTACAAAATATCTGTGACTTGACTGATGGAGAAAACTTAGGTGATTAGCAGTGGCAATATTATAGGCTGTGAGTAAAATGCTAATAATATGGTATGTATGTGTGATCATCTCACTGAGAGTTAACTCTAATGACTGCTTTTTGGGGGTGGAGTTGTGGCTTGCCTGACAGCGTGGGCTGCCATCTTTTACTGAAGCCAACTTCGGTTTACAAAGAACAGAAAAATGATATCACCATGGAGTTATTTTATCATTGTTGACTGCCAGGCCCTTTTAAATTGTGCGTCTGTGCTACAGGTTCACTTATATGACTTTGGGCTATTCATTGTCACCATATTACAGAATGAGGATATGTTAGATGCCTTTCCCCTCTTTCCCTTTCAGTGAAAATTCCAAAAATGGACACATTTGAGGCAAACAGCACTCTGAGGAGTATAAAGTCTCTTCAGCATGTCATAGAGTGAAAAGGAGGACATTGTTGTTGTTTAGTCATTAAGTCATGTCTGATTCTTGTTAACCCATGGACCAGAGCACATTAGGCCCTCCTGTCTTCCACTGTCTCCCGGAGTTTGGTCAAATGCATGTTGGTAGCTTCGAGGACACTATCCATCCATCTCGTCCTCTTCTCTTGCCTTCACGTTTCCCCAACATCAGGGTCTTTTCCAGGGAGTCTTCTCTTCTCATGAGATGGCCAAAGTATTGGAGCCTCAGCTCAGGATCTGTCCTTCCAGTGAGCACTCAGGGTTGATTTCCTTCAAAATGGATAGGTTTGTTCTCTTTGCAGTCCAGGGGACTCTCAAGAGCCTCCTCCAGCACCACAATTCAAAAGCATTAATTCTTCGGCAGTCAGCACTCTTTATGGTCCAGCTCTCACTTCCATACGTCGCTACTGGAAAAACCGTAGCTTTGACTATGTGGACTTTTGTCAGCAAGGTGATGTCTCTGCTTTTTAAGATGCTGTCTAGGTTTGTCATCGCTTTCCTCCCCAGAAGGAGGCGTCTTTTAATTTTGTGGCTGCTGTCATCTACAGTGATCATGGAGCCAAAGAAGGTCTTCTCCTTCTATTTACCAGGAGGTGACGGGGCCAGTGACCATGATCTTAGTTTTTTTTGATGTTGAGCTTCAGACCATGTTTTGTGCTCTCCTCTTTCACCCTTATTAAGAGGTTCTTTAATTTCTCCTCACTTTTTGCCATCAGACTGTGCTATCATCTGCATATCTGAGGTTGTTGATATTCTTCTGGCAATCTTAATTCTGGCTTGGGATTCATCCAGTCCAGCCTTTCGCATGATGTATTCTGTATATAAGTGAAATAAGCAGGGGGAAAATATACAGCCTTGTCGTACTCCTTTCCCAATTTTGAACCAATCAGTTGTTCCATATCCAGTTCTTACTGTTGCTTCCTGTCCCACATATAGATTTCTCAGGGGATAGATAAGGTAGTCAGGCACTCCCATTTCCTTAAGAACTTGCCATAGTTTGCTGTGGTCCAAAGGAGGATACACATTATATCAGCCAGTTCGTAAACTATATGCCAGCTTTGGGAGGATGCACACCTCCACTGTACATGCTACAAAGAAATGTGGCACAAAGGAGCACAAAAAGGCTTAATTCAAAAACTGACAAGTTTAGCTGGTAGCTTTTATAGTGAGGCTGTATATGAAAACACATGAGTGATGCCTAATGAAATTTCAGAAGCCTGAGAGTTTGAGTATGATTCCCAGTATTCCTTAATAGGATGTTGATGCCTTCTTGACCCTCCTTATTGGTAACAGGAACCGGGGTGGGGGATTCTGCAGAAGAGCTCTTCTAAACAGGCTTGCTTGGTATAATTTGTAAAAATCATATAGCTGTTCTGTCCTTGCCATAGAGTTTGAGCAAAATGGAGCAGAATTATTCTGTTGTGTCTTTTTCCTTTATTAGCGCTCTTCAAGAGGTCTGATGCAATGTTGAGAGAAATTTCTGGGGATTCTGGAGCTCTTCTAAACAGGCTTGCTTGGTATAATTTGTAAAAATCATATAGCTGTTCTGTCCTTGCCATAGAGTTTGAGCAAAATGGAGCAGAATTATTCTGTTGTGTCTTTTCTTTTTATTAGCGCTCTTCAAGAGGTCTGATGCAATGTTGAGAGAAATTTCTTCATTTCCTTTGACTTTTGAAAAAAAGTTGAGATTAATTAAAAACTCACATGAAATAAGATAGGTTTTATGTATAAAGGTATTTAACTAAGGTGCCAACTGGAAAGGAAATGCCCAATTAAATCTTTCCACATCTCTTTGCAATAGGATGTTCTGCATGTAATTATTCTCAAGTCAACAGAATTTAGGGTATAACTGCTTAATAGCTCTATTATAGTAAATAGGCTTTGACTGAAAAGGATTGATATAAATGAGAATAGGCTAGACTGCTCAAGAAAATATATGATGTAGGTAGATTGATGGCACTGTGTGTACATGTTTGTGCCAAGAAGGCTGAAAATTAACGATTTGTACAATGAATTCTTAGGAGGAATATAACCAATCTGGCAATCCTAATCTAATGTAAGTTAATTAGATTCTGCAGAACATTTCAGTATTTTTATAATACAAGTTCTACTTTTCCTTCTAAAGTCAATTATTCAGATATGTGCCATCTCTGAGTTTAAATTTATGCCAACTGTCTCAGGATTTTCTAATGTAAATAATTGATTTACTATTCTCATGATCTTCTGGTGCTCTGAAGTTGTGTCCCTTGCCCCTAGCCACATAGGTGGCAAGGCATATAATTGCCATTAGCCACACATGCTCCCGGTAATCTTGACTGGACCCTTTCTAGGAGATAGAGAAGGACATAGAACTCTCAAGCCATGGCTCTGCAGCCAGTTGCTCCTTTTCACAGAGCAATACCAGCTCTATAGA